TCTGTTTCATATTTCTCTTTACCTTCCATTACATTACAGTCTGATATGTTCTTCAGCTGTTTTTAATTGTAAATGGCCTCTCACTATATTTATTATGCAAGCCTCCAACACCCCTGTCATCTAGGGTTTTTTATTGTAATATACTGGGATCCTGAAAATAAGCCTAAGAAATGCAGCTAAATAACTGAAATTCACTGCATGTTTGGAATGGACTTTTCTGTAATGTTTCCTCTGTACAGTGCCACTCTTGGAAATGCCTTGAGCTCACTAGAGTGTTTTTCATAAGAGACCAAGAAGCTAAGAAGTGATAAGAGTTAAACTAGAGGATGTATGACAAGCCAAATCTCCTTCATAGGAAGTTACATCAATTTGTTATATTATCAGGGAAATGACAACTGAAGCAAAATATTTTTCAAGATTTGTTTTTTCATTACGCATAGGCAGAAAAATATTTTTCATATTACCATAAAAAAGCAAAGTCATCAACGCTTTCTTTCTACCAATAGTAAGAGAGATTAATTTAGCATTACCTCTTTTGTTCACACCACTTTTTATTCCTTTGCACAATTAGGGCGAATTAAATGAAATGACCTATTTAAACAGAATGCAAAGACAAAATTGCTGATTGCTCATTAGCAAGAGTTGCATGCAAGCACTGTATGCTAGAATAGACTGTAAAGAGAAGTACTAACAGGACCACTTACAAAGGAACTTTAGTTTAAAGCTAGTGCAATATCCAGCATGTAGGGTATGAAGATAGGGTAGGAAGAATATTTATTTTGGGGACCTAAAGGTTTATATACTAAAATGTTTTATACACTAAAATGAACACTGAATTTGTTTAAGAAAACAAAACAGTTTTAGTGCTGAAAACTAACTGCTGGTAAAGTCATATCACTGCAGCAGGTTCATTCACTGCCAACAAGATCTGGTTCTAGTGTGAGTTGTATTTGTGGACTCATATGTACAAGTGATATGAATACTATCCTTACCAAATTTACAGAAAGAGAGAGAGAGAGAGAGAGAGAGAGAGAGAGAGAGAGAGGTGGAAAGAAAAAGAAGTTCCACCTTTTGGAATAGCAATGAAGCACTTAGGACTGGGAAAGTTTTAGCAAGGAGACACAGTGAAAGAGATGAATAACAAGTGTGTACCTAAATGCCACTTCAGTAAGGCATGCAGTGAGACTTTAGGCTAAATTCTGGTGTTTCACTTCAGCCAATTATTTAGTCCAAACATTGAAAAAAATGAAAAGATAACATTGTCTCCTTAGTGTACTGCTTTTTCCAAGCTCTACCAAAAACCATTCTAACTTACAGTGCCTGCAGGTAAGTGCCACACTGCAGGAAACTGAAGGATGATGGTACCTAAATTCATGGCCAGTCCTTCCTGTATCCTTCTTCAGTGTCTCCCTCTCCCTTGCTGCTTCTTTTCCTGGCACTTCCCAGACTTTCACTGCCTAAGTCTCTTCTCCCTTGTTGCCTCTTGATTTCCCAGAAAAAGATTCTCCACTGTCTTTTCAAAGGGCTGAACATTACTTCCTGCTTGCTTTCCAATTCCAGTTGTCCCCCTCCCTCCCCACATATTAAACTGTGGAATTCTGGAAAGCCCCTGGTGTGAATGTTTACAGAGAGTATCCTTCGCATCCCTAATTCACACAATGTCTGTTGTAGAACTAATATTTGTCAGCATCTGCAAACTTTATTTAACTAGTACTGCATACAGTTGCTAATATGAGCCCATATTTTCCACTTACTTTCTTAGTCCCAGAAGTCAAGAGCAGGAAACTGACATAGACAAAAGATTATTTGGAGCAAGGGCCGTCACCTCTTACGTGCCATTGCAAAACCAGGATATTTTTTGATTAAGAAATTAAACTAAGCAGCCACTTGATTTTTTTTTATTAGCAAGAGTCATTTTTAGGCTAGGTTTACTTACCAAACTGTTGTTATACACAGGGAGACTAGAAACCTTTAATGAAATATGACTAGGACTGGACTGCAATTCCAGCCGCCTTTCAAATAAAAGGTGTTCCATGTGCAGCTTTGATCTGTGATCCTGATACCAAAAATAATAGGAAAATGGTTCTATTGTGTGTCACCTGCTATTCAGTTCTAAAAGGAAAATTAAAACATTCTCTCAGATTGAGTCAAGGTCTTCCTGATCGGATGAGTGGGATAGGCCCGATGTATCTGTAAGCCATGTACTTGCATGCTAGGGCAGATGACAGCTGATTTTTTCCTGGTGTAAACTGAAACTAACTGGGCACATCTACATGTACAATTTATGTGACTGAATATACCCCACCTCAATTTGAGCTGGAGTGAATTAATCTTGACATCACAGTCTATATGTGCGTTTAAGTGCAGTAATTTACTGCGATGCCAGACACCACTTGTATCTGACAGGACTATCCAGCAGCGCAGTAAATTAATCTACTTCACCCTAATTGCCGTGCCCATGTAGACAGTAACACTTTACTGCTCAGCAAATTAGTCTCACGCACAGTAAAGCATCGCATGTAGATGTGCCTGCCCATTAAGAGCTACACTAGCTTATTCAACAGCTTCTGTGCCAGGCACCTCTAAGCAGGTAGCAGAGATGGTTTCATGAGGCTTTTTTTTATACAAGTGATTCTCAGACAGAGTGCTGCAAGATCCTTCCAAGCATGCTGCAGTGCCAGGAGGTAAACAATTGCTTCTCCTCCTGCCAGGTGCCCCAGCACAGTTTCATAGTAGCTAGGGTCAGGAGGGACCTGAACAGATCATCTAGCCTGACTCCCTGCCACAGGCAGGAATGAATGCTGGGTTCACAACACCCCAGACAGGTGATCATTCAATCTCCTCTTGAATTTGCCCAAGGTAGGGGTGAGGACCACTTCCCTAGGGAAGTTGGTTCCAGATTTTGGCCACCCTAACTGTAAAATATTGCCTTCTGATCTCTAACCTAAACCTATTCTCCATCAGCTTATGACCATTGTTCCTTGTCACCCCAGGTGGTGCTGGGGAGAAAAGGGCTCTGCCTATTTGCTGTTGATCTCCCCTGATGAGCTTGTAGGCAGCCACTAGGTCTCCCCTCAGCCTCCTCTTGCTGAGGCTGAACAGGTTCAGGTCCTTCAGTCTCTCCTTGTAGGACCTGTCCTGCTGCCCTCTCACTGAGCGGGTGGCCCTTCTCTGAACCTTCTCCAAGCTGACCACATCCCTTTTGAAGTGCGGCGCCCAGTACTGGACGCAGTACTCCAACTGCAGCCTGACCAAAGTCGCATAGAGGGGGAGTATCGCCTCTCTGGACCGGCTTGAGATGCACCTTTGGATGCATGACAAGGTATGGCTGGCCTTGCTGGCTGCGGTCTGGCATTGGCGGCTCATGTTCATCTTGGAGTCAATAATGACTCCAAGATCCCTTTCTGCCTCTGTGCTTTCAAGAAGGGAACTCCCCAGCCTGTATGTATGCTGTGGATTCCTTCTCCCCAGGTGCAGCACCCTGCATTTGTCTACGTTGAACCCTATCCTAGTCTCGTCTGCCCACTTTTGTAGTCTGTCTAAATCTAGTTGCAGCCTCTCTCCCTTCAAGTGTGTCCACCTCGCCCCACATCTTAGTGTCATCAGCAAACTTGGACAGCGTGCTTTCCACCCCTCGTCCAAGTTGCTGATGAAGATGTTAAACAGTGTGGGCCCAAGGACCAAGTCCTGGGGTACCCCACTGCCCACATCTCGCCAGGCTGAGTACAACCCATCCACCACTACTCTCTGGGTGCGCCCCATCAGCCAATTTTTTACCCATCCAGCATACCACAGGCAAGTGGTACCTACTGCTGCTTACCACCCCAGGGCAGTTGCTGTATTCCCAGCAGTGCACTCTGCTGCTCACATACAGGTAGGTGAGCAGATGCTGGCCCAGAGGGCCACACTACATCCTGGCTTGTCTTCTGTTCCTCCCATGCCCCCAGAACCAGTGGGAATGGCCATGGGTGCATGGGGCTCTAATTGCTGGTATGCGAGTTGCTGGAGGAGCAGCCACGGTGGCAGGTATAATGCAGACCCCTCAGGTACAGACCAGGGGCAGAAAGGGGACAGACAACAAAAAAACCAAAGCAAGGTATGGTGAGGTCCTGTCCCCATTGCCCTTACCAGGTACCAGCTAAATCCTACTTCAGTGATTCTCAACCGCGAGTCCACTAAATACTGAAAAGTTATAGAGAGGTACCTTGAGGCTATAAAATTTGAGAACCACCACTTTGCACAAAGGGAATCCTTATCTGCACATTGGGGATCCTGGGACAGAACAATGGTTCTAGCCTGATATTCTATCCCAGGGGTGAATCCTAGATGGTTCAGAGGAAAGTAAAAACACACCACAGTACATCTAATTACTCTGTCATCATAGAATGATGGGGTGGTGGGAGAGAGAGAAGTATTTTCTGATGGAAACTGGTTATGAGCTTCCTTCCTGAAGTATGAGGTTCAGTACTCTTGAACTTTATCTTAGCATAACTGCAAATCCCCTTTGTAAAAAGCTCATTGCTTTTTACTTAGCTATTAAGGACCCAATCCAGCAAAACACTTAAGACTTGTTCAACTTGAAACACGAGAGAAGTTCCATTGCCACCACCTGGCACTTAGTTACACAATTAAAGTCAAGCAAGCGTTCAGTTGGGTTGAGGCCTATAATATTCAGCTCAATAATATGGCTTCCTTCAATGTGGAGTTGGCAGTTCAGTAGTTCACTGAATCCCTGGCACTTGTGAGCAGAGAGCAGAACTGAACTAGCTCTTCAGTTCCTTAATAGACAATATTTCTGCCAACTTTACAGAGCTAATACTGATGTGCAGACAAACCATCTAGTCATAACCACCTTAGCTGCATAGTTGAGATTTAGATATAGATCAAATGCACAGTTTGCGCCTAGGTTTCTGATTCATCTGTGAGAGTTACAGTTACTGAGCCAGGTAAGAGTTATTAAGCAAAATCCAGATTGAGATCACATTGTACAATGCAGTTACCTGACAAAATATTGTGAATAGGAGTGGCAATATTAATATCCTGGAGGTGCTTCAGAGTCTCAGTGTGGAACAAGCGGAGTGTAGATCCAGATGTGAATGCAATCCAGATTCCTACTCCAGCAACAGCCATATGTGAGATCACCATCCCCTCCTCTTGATGAGCTTCAAAATAGTGCTAATAATAAAAAAAGACAAAGCAAGTGTAACAGGTACACCAAAGCCATATAATTCATTGTTACCTGTAAGCTCCTGTATTGTATAGAGTGCCATGTAGTCTCACTCCCTTTGCCCCACCAAGGGCAAGTCTTGCCCCTAAAACTTTATAGCTGCATACTCAGTAACTTATTTTGTGTGTAAAAAAAAACAGCAAACATGTTGGGAATTTGTCTTTCTTCAGAGCAATCCTGCATTTCCATATCTGTCTTTTTAAGAAAGAACACTAGTGTAGAAAAGTCTGCTGAGACCAGACTGGTTTTTGCCACTGTGCTACTTAAACCTGAAGCAGAGCTACCACCAGGAGGTAAGACTCCTCAACATAAACACAGATTGGGTTTGGGTGTGTAACAAGTGGGCATCCTGGGGCTGGTCTGAATGTTGGCCTGCCCACTTCAAGGCAAACCGCCCACCTACCTTTCCTGCCACACCTTTGATAATATCAATTAGAAGATGATAACAAGGCAGGAGGCTGCCCATTTACTTGCCCTGATGCCAAGGGCCTATACATGGCTCCAAACGTCCCCTTATACCATGTCCCATGACTCACAGATGGAATCCATGGCCTAACACATGGCCTTAGCTTGTTTGGCCTAACACCCAGCCTATAAGCCTGTGCCCTCACACTGGGATCTGCAGTGCACTGCTTCATGTTGGGACTCTCACTCCCATGCCCTAACACTGGAGCTTGCAATCTCTGTGCCCTCACACTGGGCTCTCACACAATCAATCAGCGCTCCCAGCCCCTCCCTTTTCCTCTGACTCCTTGCCCAGCTAAGGACCCTCTTGGTCCCCTCACGCCCCTACATTGGGGCCTCATCCCCTGCCCGACATTGGGCCGCAATCCCCTTAATCCCCTTGCCCGAGGAGCTTCACACTTAACTCCCTCATAAGCTTAGGGCCCCACCCCTCTGGAGCCTCACACCTGGCTCCTTCATGTGTCTCAGGGCTCACAGTGAGCCTGGGTGCTGCCTCAAGTCCCTTCCTGACCTGGGCCCTGCCTCAGGACTCACTGTGAGCCTGGACCCTTGCTTTGTCTTCGGGATGTGCTCCCCTAGCCTGCCCCCTCGACAGGGTAACCCGCAAGGCAACGGGGTTCCTGGTGCCTAAAACTCACCCTTCAATGGGGAGGCACAGGTGTGGCATTTCCTGGAAACTGCTCCATCACAAGCAGCTGCACCACACCATCCAGCCCTGGGTATTGTTTTAGGTCATGTCCCAGAACCAGTGGCGATGCATAGGGGGTGCACATGCACTCACTGAGAGCGCTGGTGCACCCCTGACAGCCAGCATTCCCGGGCAGGGGGGGCAGGCGAGAGTGCTGGTGCTGCCCCTGAGAGCGCCAGCTGTGGGGTTGGGGCACTAGGAGAAGTGGTCCCCCCCACGGTTGATCATGCTTACCCAGAAGTGCCAGAGGCGTGCCCAAAACGCCAGTGGCACGCTGCTATGACTTGCGGGTCGGTGGGATTGGCCGTGGGGGAGCCCCCACTCTGGTCTGCGGGATTTGCCGCAGGTGAAACCCACCACCCTTGGTCAGTGACTGGCCACTGGGAGGGCAAGTACCCCCCAACTCATGAGGCACCAGTCGCCCATGCCCAGAACCAGGAGCCTCCACCTTCCTCATAGCTCCTTCCTGTATCTCCAAGATATTATGAGCAGCAGCTCTAGCTGGGTAATGCTCTCTTTCTAGCTGCTGGCAGCAAACTGCCAGCTATACTGCTCAGAGGCCTGTTCTTATAATAAACAGCTGGGCAACTGTGCCTGATTGGGAGTGCAGCCACCTGCAAGCTGCTTGGCTGTTTGCTCATGCCCCTTTGAGTAACAGCACACCCTGTGCTCTGTTACAGGGTAGAATACATACTTGGGAAGCAGAACAGAATTTTATGCAATAAAGCTGAACAGTTGCTTATATTGGGTTCTTCCAGTGCAACCTAAACTTCCTTTGCTGGAACTCTGTGCTCTTCTAGGAACTTGGTCTTTCCTAAATCCCTTTGGTTTCTGTACCTGCCCACTCTTTTACACAGTAAATGGGAGAAGTTCCTCAGGCATTTGAAAGGGGCCATTGTCTCTTTACACCCTTTTTAGTCCAGACACTCAATCTCATACTTCTCATGGTGGCATTACTCCACCCTGGGTGGAGCACGATGTACGAAGTCTTCCAGTGATTTGACTATTACTGTGATCTGTAAAACCAAAGCACACAGGAGCTCTAATTCATGCACCATGACCTCTCTGCTGTTCAAAGACAGAAATAAAAGACAATCCCTAGGAAAAAAAGCCCTCCATTTCCAAATTTCTCTTTGAACAAAATATCCAACTAACTTTCTTTTAAAGACTACTTTTCAGTCTAAATATAATTATGGGTATGAACTGACATTATTATTGGAAATACAGTCTCTCATGGTCCTAAATATACATAGCAGGGAACGCTCTAGGAGTGTGAGACTTGACTTATAATCATGGCTTAAAATCAAACCACAAGAAGTATGCAACAAATTATTATATGGCCTTAGTTATTCATTCTCAAACAAACTAGATTCCTGC